AATGGTTTGATGACTTCATCCTTTGGAAAGTTGGTACAAAGTAGCAATAAAAACGCTACTTGGAAGCCATGCACTTTCTTCATTGTGTTGCTTGAAGACATCCTTTCACGTGGTGACATGATCACATGAAAAACAAAAAGACATTGATATATGCAATTGCGATACCAGCGAATTATCTTCAACTGGCATTTACTCAAAATTGCATTTAGTTCAATAAACTGACGGGTGCAGTTTTTAGTTACGTGTACGAAAGCGCCACTTAAAGTGTACGGCCTCTGATCAGACCGTCCATTAAACGGATTAGGGTCTGCCCGCTTGCATCATGAAGACTGCATCTACCTGCTTGATCACATTATTATCGCAGGCTTTCAAAAAAAACTCCGTCTTAGAAGGGGAAAAATAGCTGACTCTATGGATTCAAGCCCATGCTTCGTGAAGAATACAATTGTACATGTATAACCATACTGTCCCATGTGTTTCGTGCAGAGGTTGGCTATTATCGTTGACACAGGAAAGATTAGACAAGTGAATAATGTTGGTTACTACTTTACACAGGGCGACATAATCAAGTGTTTTTATATTATCAACAGCCCGTATTCTGTGTTCCAAGTACTTGTCACTGGGCTGAAGGATGAGCATGGGTAACTTAGAGGTAGACATAAGGTGGGGTCAAGAAATCAATTCTCAAATCAATGCACCGTAGCCCTCTTGCCTCGCATTGCGCTACCTGCGATCCCAGCAGGGATAAGATTGAGTCGTATTCTCCATTGGGATTGCTGTTGCCGTTGAAAGTGGCAGAAGCTATAAGAGCATTTTTAAAACGAGTGGATTCGGCTTAGCCTTCAGTTTCGCTAGTTCCCAGCCATTTTGAAGCAGCGTTAGAAACCACGTGTTTGAGCTCTGACTGGAACCAGCGAAACTGAAGACTCAACCGAATACACTCGTTTCGAACGTGACAAGACAAAATTCATGGTATGATCTGATTATGGAGGACTCTGATTACCGACGAGGAAGTTTTGTTACAAAGGGCAAACTAAGGCATAATGGAGTGTGAGGAATGACGGTACTTTTGTAGTCTGAGCTTTTTCTTTGTGAGGAAAGTCTCCAGCACCGTAGGCTAAGCCACTCTGAGCGCCTTTTAACAGCGGCAGAAATTGTATCAGGCTCCTATGTACGCTTTTAGACAAAAAGCTGATGGAGGGGGGCAACATGTGATATCATTGACCTGTTTCTTCCCATATTTATGTAATCTGGGCCTATTTTATTTATGCTGCAATAACAAGAATATGATAAACGCCTGGACTAGGAGTTGGAGAGATTTTTGTGAAAGGGCTATTTGTGAACAGTGAGATTTGCAGAATTAAATACATTTTTCGGGTAATTGTAAGGGAATACAGCTGTCCTTTCAAGGCCTTTCAGACTGCGACTGGAGGGTCGCTTTGAGCGACGATGCGACTTAGTAGCCAGAGAGACCAGCGGGGGAAAGAAGGGTTTTCTCTCACTGTACGAAGTCCGAGGTCATTTACATGGCTCTTTGATAAGAAAAAGCTCCCTGACCTGATTGCTGCAAGTTGAGATAGATGTGTGTAAACTATTTCAGTGGCATCCGTTCCCTGCCTGCTTGTTTGCTTCCGATATTTCGGCAATGACTGTTTTTGGAAAGTAAATGATTTTCTTGTGTTTTGTTTTGAACAAAATCTGCTAACAGACAAAATTACCTCACCATGGTGCAGCCAACGAAAATCCTACCAAGATCGAAAGAGCCTGTTGCTACTAGCGTGCATGCATGAACCTTGGCATGTGACCACGTTCAGTCGGGAGGCCCTCAGTAATGGCCGAAGTACCGGTATGCTTTGCAGGAAACGGCTAAAGGGTAGTTACAACGGACAAGATACTTCCAGCACTTTTGGGGGCTGCCCGTGTTTTAATAATCGTGTATGATCCCTAGGATTTTGTGGAAGTTGGCATAGCCTTAGAGACGCCATTGTGAGGAAATAACGGCATGATGTACCCACAGGATTACAGGCTCGCGCCTTGACGTTACTGGTCATTATGAAGTGGAAATTTTCAAGAAAACCATAACACTTCCTTCAGATCTAAGAGTCAAACGGTACGGCGGAGGATAATGTTCTTCTCGTATTCGGCACTGTCTTGTTTATGATGAATGCGCCTGAAGCAGATGATCTAATAATGAACACTTTCTTATTTTCAGAAGACTAATTGTCCACACGACCGAGGGACACCTATCATAGATGCGCCATATGATCCAAAGCCAATACTTCAACCATTTCTGGGACATGGTGATAGACTGTTCAACGTTAAGGTATCATAGTGCGCTCTAACAAGGGAGAACTTCAACATTTTCAGAAAGTGAACAGATAAACATCCTTTCCCATCAAATGAATGAGCAAATAAGTTCCATCCAAGGGATTCATTTTTCTGTGAGGATTCATCAGGACATATTTTCTTCAACCCATCCTTAAGTAACCTTTCTATAATAAACATATATCTTGCTGAAAAGTAATTTTGGGTGAAATCGAAGTTCTGCTCAGAAAGGTACATGTTAGTTATGCAGTTATTTTATTGCCAAGATTTACGGTGTCTCGTTGAAAAACTAACTTGCTCGGTGGCACTTCTAAAGTTTTCCCATTTGTAATGTTTTGCATGTTTGCACGCTTCACTAAACACATTCTCCAACTAATAATTAAATAATACGCAACAATGAAAGTGAACTTAAAAAGCAGCATTAATTCAAAGTGTGGAATGTTTCCCAACAACGAATCCAACCCGACCCGACCCAACCTAACCCAATCCAGCCAAACCCATCCTAAGACAAGTTTACCCAACCCAAAAGTAAACATAATAAAAAACCAAACAAAATAGCAAGGACATGACAAGACGACTTAAAAGATTTTGGCACCTTCTTCCGGTAGTTGTCTTTCAGAAAAGCCAAGCACAGGGCGATTCGCAATACAGTGCGCCACCAAGAGGTTACAAAACAAAACTATATTTGCAAAATTTGAAGTTTTGTAAGTGCATTTCGAGTAGCAGTTTCATCAAACCTGTCCCACTTTTGAACATTCAAATATTTTCCCTAAGCTGTTTACTGACTTCCTCCAGAGGTGGGTCGGCCATGTGTTTGTTGACTTTAAACGTGAATAATATCCTTTCCAATGCAACCTGTTGGAGGTGCACAGTTTTGTCAATCGCCCGTATTGCGAAATGAAACACCTGCGTTAGTTTGTAAAGAAACGGTTTCATATTTTGTGTGCAGTAACCTGTGGAATTATAAAATCCATCCATTGCGGAAACCGGAAGAATATCGAGGCGGAATCTGCCCTCTGCCTTTCTTTGAAATTATCAACATGCATGGATTTCTTATAGCCACGGCCCTTCTTGAGGCTTTTGGCTGATGTCTTGCGGTAATGTTGATATCAGTTGTCATTCATAAGAATTGGACCAGCCGTTGTGGGGAAAAATGCTCAATTCTCCAAGACAAATTGGAGAAAACTGCATTTCTTCCAACGACCGGCACACTAGACTATTATTTTAAATAGACCGACTACATACATACAAATGATAATCTCAACCACGAAACCTTTGTCCAATTAAAAAAAAACTTTCGTAAACATACCCACATTAGATGCGAATGGCAAAGTTACGATCACCGTACCAAAAACAGCGGGGCAACCGAAATTTGAGCGCCCACAGCTGATTGAACTGATATTAGTGATAACAAAATACAATCTGCCTGGAAATATTTATTGGGTCAACCTTGTTAATTTCGTTATTCGTGTACGCGAATGCAGGTGTTGAATGTCCTAATTTCCTGACTTCAATTAATATTGAAGCTAAGCTTTTCGATCGCCACAAAGTAGCATCCACGCAGCTTTGTAATCAGAGCACTGTACTTCACAAACCATTTATAAATACCTAAGACATTTTAGCCTTTCTTATTGGCTGAGAGCACGTTACGCGGCCGGTCTTAAACGGTTAATAAAACACCAGCTCGCGGGCGGAACATACTACATTATGGCTGGAGGGGTGTTTGAAGTATCTGGGAGTTAAATTGACCACAGTCGGTTGAAATTTTCATCTCTTTTGACACTTGTTGTGACTTTCTGGAAATAAATATGTGCTTGGTGGGCCTATTACAATGGACGCTGACAATGTTCTCTGACACTGGCTCATCGCGTTAGGCCCCACCCATAAATTATAGGCCATTTCATTCTTGGCGAGAAAACGAAAGAGAACGCGAAATTGTGACGTCATATCAAATATTCGCGTTGCAAATTCATGAAAGTTGAACACATTTCAACTCGAGCGAAATTTTGCCGTAAAGATGTCGTGACGTCAAATTCGCTTCGATTTCGCCTGAAGTATGAACCAACCTTAACGCTTACGACCTTAACGCATATGACACGCCACGCGCGCCACTCGCCAGAGGCACATACCATAGGCCTAACATGGCTAGAGAGGCCTTTGAAGAAATGAACTCAAATTTCTGAACAAAATCGTTGAAAATGTATTCATATATTTTACTTTATTTGAGTTTCTGCTATTCATGAATGGGACAATGCCTGAGTTCGGGCGGCGTGTTCTCATATATCCATGAACAACTCGATTTGTTGTTCGTGGAAACTATGGAAACTATCAATGTCAATTTCTGCAAAGTCTATCATCTCTGACTTGGCTATCTTGGTGTTTTTGCAACTCCCGCGTGTTTTTCGTTGAGTTCGTAAAAAACTCTGTCGAGGAGGTGGCACATGATCCTGTTTCAAGAACAGTGTTCTGTGTTCCCGCCCTTCGAGTGCGAGAACAAGAAACCCGTCGTAGAACAGGCCGCCCGAACTCGAACAAAATGTACCTGACCAGTCTTAACGTTTAGACCGGCTCAGGAGTATCAGCATCCATTCTCTTGATCTGGTCCACCAGCCAAGCCCACATTTTTTCCTTTATTAAACACAACGAAAATCATAAGACGTTATGGTCACCATAACTCAGGTTTCAAGCGAGTTTTAATCAACAGAATACTGTATTGATATAACTCAATAAGAACTTCAAATATCCGTCTGAAATGTTTGAAATGGTGGCACGCATAAAGAGAAAAAAGGCAAATATTTACAGCGAAAAAGCACACAACCGGTGCGTCAACTTTTAATATGACAAGTATTTTAAGGAGAGTTTTCTCACATACAATGCTGTATATCACAGTTATGGATGTATAATTTATGCATTAATACAAGGTCACGCTTGATACTTCAGTGCAAATTTACGTAGCTATTTGTTTTGCTGTTAGAGTAAATCAACATTGCAAGTTTTCGCCGCTATTCATGACTTACATCGGTCCTCTGACTTGTTCTCAGGAGCCCGGGACTTTGACTCAGTGTACTTTCAAATTAAATCCGTTTCTGACCTGATTGATATGTTTAATCACTTGAAATTTTTATTAACATTGCTGGAAATCCCTTGAACGATGGCATTGAAGGGTGAGTCATTCTCAGGTGTGATAGGCTTACATGGAAAGCGGACGTGGTTTTGTTTATGCCTGTATTACTTCCCCAACACTCAGTGAACTCACTCATACAAATCCTACTTGCGTGATTGTTTGTACCCAGATTGACTCGTATCCGTATATGCGCATGTTCGTACCTCATCAGAGTGCGCAAGACCTGTCTTGTCTCCACATTCATTGCATAGCCTGTAAACACCGCTGTGAGTTTGAGTAAACATTCTTGCTCCTATTCTCACCCACAAACATGTTCGTACCAGGTCTACTTTCTCTTCCCGCTCTTCATGCACCTCCTTCCGCACTCATTTTGATTGCAACTCAAACAGTCTTTCATTAACTCGTGATGTATTATTTTGCCAAAACATTTTGCACGCAAGGGCCTGGTTAATATTTGTTACAGGACATTGTTTTTCAGCATTACAAAATGTCGGGTCAAACCGCTGCATCTTCATAAAAATTGGGCGACAAGTACTCTGCAGCACACTGGCTTCTATTGGATTTGTTGAGATGCACCTCAAGATTTTAGCTATGACAAATGCACATAAAGAATACTATCACGTCTTGTCACACGTAATATTTGATTAAAGGTGGTGAAAATTGGAAATGCGTGTGCTTGACATGTGAGCCATAATTAATGGTTTATTCGACATAAAACTAACGTAAAGTGTGGCTACCTTTAACTTTAAACAAAAGTGCACTATGAAGCACCTACTGCCAGGGACGTGTGAGGTTTCAAGGGGTCGGCAAACAAAACGGGGGTTATCAGAACCATTCAATTAACTATTGCCGCTACGATGGACAATGATCATAATAGTTTAATTGGAGAGGTATACAAGCTTTTCGATTAAGTCGGGCTAAAAGAATTCCACTCGCAAATAGCTTGTCGGGTCAATCATGCCTGAGCGCAGCACGGAGGCCCAGCAATTTCAATTTATGATGGTTCCGTTTCCGCGTCGACATTAATTCGGGCGCCGACCGGCCCTCATGTGGGCTGACCAGGTTGGAAAGGGGGTCTGAAAAGCGCTACATTCAATTACTTCTCACCGCCAGAGCTGCGTCAGGGACTTCTGTGCAAAGATTTACAATTCCTGGCGTGCGATTCACAATTTACCACTTGGGACTGTGCTACATTGATCAAGATAAACTTGTTTTGGTGGCATTCATTTGTCAGAGCTGTCATCCCTCTGCACTTCAATCTTAAGCCCCCAGGAACGCTGCCCCCGAGACGTCACGGAAGCCTGTTATTACATGAATAGCGCTGGACACTTATTTTTCGTTCCTCTAAAACCTTCACAAATGTGTTTCTTGTAGATTTAACAAAACTTAAAAAGGATTAAAAAAAGCCTCGTGCAATATTACCACCGATTCATTCGATTGTTGTTTCGTATTCATCTAGTGAGGTGAATGGTTCCACCCCTTATGGGATGCTGTTTGTGTATCATCCGCAGTGTTCTCGGCTTGAAAGTGGCGGGTCCCATCGAACCACAAACTAAACACAAGCGAACAACGTCACTTCCGTCTATGCATACACACACCCACGCCGCACACTAACTTGATAAACACAAGTATATGGTAAACAACTCATAACCATTCTTTTTGGAACGATTAGCTGACGTAGGACTGACTTAGTTGACTTCATTCAAAAAGCACGAGGAAGGGGATTTTTCTGGTTTAGACGATTTACAACAGGGATCGGCACTGGCACTGCGTCAATGCCCTTTGTTCACTGAAAGATGATCATGTCTGTAGGTCATGGGTTCGACCTGCATTTATGTTTTTATCTCCGAACCACAGCTAGTAAACTAATCTTTCCCTGCTTACAGTTCAGTTGACCCCTTGTCAAATGCCATTGTTACCATTCACCTTTTTCCAGGGATTGAATCAATAGGTATTGTTATTCTCTTGAAGCTTCGTAAAACAAAACAAACGTCTTTCCAAAACAGTGCCAGGCTGATTCGAAAAAAAGGCTTTTCTTCGTTCTTACCTTTTTTGTTCACCTGTGAAAGTGATCACTATGAAAGTTTGCTTGGAATGTTTGGGACAATAAAAATTACAAATAAAACAATTAATTGTACATTGAAAGGTCAAGTTTTTCCCTAAACAGCTACATCTTTATATGACTGAAAATGCAAACAAGTGTAAGAGTCTAGCTTAATTACATCTCAATGTAATATGACACTCGTGAGTTGAAGTGTAAAAAGGTCGAAGTAATGGATCCACTTGGTGTCATGACAACATCAATTATTATCGGTGGTCAATAATCTACGCTGTATTGTGTAGCCCTACTGGCCCCGTACAAGGACTCTAGAGGGCGCTGACCAAGTTAATCTCTTCACATATCCTTGTTCCCTCATGCAGTGGCTGTATAATACTATAATACGTTGTTTTGGTGACATTTGACATTCATATTGAGACTGTAACAGGATACTTTGATAGATTGCATTCAAACCTAAGGGTAAACACGCAGTTTCCAACGAAAAATCTGGTGGTGTTTTCGATATGTTTGGAAAAGATGCAATTTCCAAATAGAGTCGAAAACGGTCGGCCAGTAGGCATCATTAACATGGATATTACATATAACATCACGCAAGAATTGTCCAGTTTAAGTCGTTTTTGACGAATATTCCAAATGAACTGGCATATTTCATTGAAAACCGTTCCTAAACTGCATCAATATTTTCTTTTTAAAGGCTGATTCTTGCTTAGCACAAAAGCGAAAGTGATTTTGTTACGTCAGAATAAATATTTGAGCTACGACTTTGGAAAGATTGAACGTATTTCAAGTCGTCGACGGACGAATTCCACTGCAAACGTTTTTATCTCACTCTAAAATGCCAACGTTTTGTGATGTCAAATTCACTTTACTCGCCTCTAGTATGAACCTACCCCAACTTGGCAAATCAACGACTAGAGGGTCTAAGCATGAAATTACGGACAGTTTACACAACATAGCCAAATCTACTTAAAGAGTAAACAACAGCACAGCAATCATGTCAACTACACTTGCGTGACCAGGTAACTGATTGGTTCACGGTGCACACTGTGCGTTAGTACCATTATTGGACAGAATCCAGTTGACTAAGCATTTATCAGTCTTCCAGTAAAAAAATATCCCCGATAAATACCATGAACAGTAAATTCCCTGCAGTAAATTATAATTTTTTTCTGGAATTTCTCAGTTAGTAAAACTTTCTTCAAAGCTTCATCTCCAATTATAGGTTTGTCAGCGAGATCCTATGAAGGGTAACTATTGCTAAATTACTGAAGATGGCAGGTTCTGTCCAACAATTTGTTTCCATAGAGGTTGTGCATGACAACCATGTTTCAGTGCTTTTGTTATGGAGGGACGTGCGCAAAATGTCTACTCAAGGGTATCCCTATGGAACAAAATTATCGACCTGACAGATGGCAACTTTTGTTGTTCATGTTGTTTTTTTGACTCGCAACGCTAAATCCGGGACTATTTTGAAAAAAAGGGTGTCAAATCTTAATATACGAACATTAGAACGGAATGTTATTGACGTGTTTTATGAAAAAACAATGTCAGTCTATAATATTGCTCGATTTATACCTGTCCTGGTTAGTGAAATTGTGATTCCCAAGGTCATAATATTTGTTATTAAAACAAATAATTAAAATCGAAGCTATATCCCTGATGAATTACCCATTACAAAAGAGACATCGGGGGCGGTAACGACATTCAGAAAAATAGAATTATCACATAAATACCCTACTCAGCTGTAATAAGCTGTATACATATTACCTCTTGAAGCATTGGAATAGGTATATTTTATAGTTGAAAGACACTGTGCGATGTCTGTAAACTAACTTTACACGCGAGTCGTGTTACTGTAATGTGCAGCTGCTACATAACTTCTGCACTCATTGTTAAGCATTTGTTTATACCAAACATGTACCCTTCTTGGATCCCAATATAAGTGGCATTTGACTTAAGATTTTTTCCCACGATGTTCGTTTTTGAGAGCAGACTACATGTGTTAATTAATACAAGATGGAAATCATCCCAGGTCACTAAATGGATAAAATGGGCGTTACTTGGCCATCGATAGGATTTTTGTAGGGGGTGGTATTTATTTCACGCGAGATAATTTATTTGTCTTGAATAAGTTTCTGCGCAATGAAGTAATCGTGATAGGTGATTGGTAAGGTAAGTTAAACTGTGCGAGTGTTGTAAATAGTTTGTTATTAAACTTACACAATAATCAGGTCGTTTACATGATTAATTTGAATGATATATTTGCAAATACAAAAATTTTTTGAATAACATATTTTGCTAAAAGATATGCCAGAGTTCGAAGTTTTAAGTTACCCAAAGCTTAGAATGTGATCATAACAGGACAAACAAAAGCTGCAGCAATCAAAATTTAATTCGAATAAAACAGCAAAATATATTTCAATTTCTGTCAGTTATATAATGATGGTAAAACGACGTTCTTCAATACAGGTCGTCTGAGAAAAGTGAGTGGCGGCGGTAAAGGTTCTGCGCATGCTCCGACGCCTGTTTCCTGCTTGACGTCACCGCTTCCCAGTCCTCATCTGGACAAAGGAAAAAAAAAGAGAACGTTAATTAAGATGAAGTCAAATGTGACAAAGATATACCGTAGGAATCAAGTCTTGACAGTGTTTTCAGAGAAAGTGGAATACGATTGGTTGAACATTCAGCAAGGTGAAGGTGTAGGAGAAATGTACAATTGTAATTGTATTTTTGAAATGCCTTTGTCGTTTTGGTTGTTGTTTGGGGCTGTGTGCCTGCTGGCAATGGTGATTAGGTTTACTTTTTCAGGTCCTGTCATCTTGTCCTCTTTGTGTATTTTTGTATTGTTATTTGTCATAATGACAAATAAAATAATGATTAAAATAACAATTATGACCTGATTATAAAATAGAGTCTCAAGGCCATTTTCCCATAAAATATTTTGTTTATTAGCTTGCATTTAGAAGCAATAAACTACGCATGCTGGAGTAATAGTTGTTTATCCTCTTGAAGTCCTCCCTACTTGGATTATTCGAAGTATTACGGGAAAAAATGTTGAACGGTTATTTCACTTCATTTACTTTCTGTTTTCTTTTTACTGCAGGACCCACGTAGGCTTGTAAATAGCCGTTTGTGCTCATATTGTCATCTTGTATATAAATGCGATGGACTAAATGAAAGGAAAAATCTTTATGCTAAGTTATTCCGTCTGAAATGTCACAGATACATTTAAAGAGAGAACCGATTAATTTGCTCGACAGACGGTCTTTGGGACGGTGAAACTTCAACACTTTTTTAATCGCAGAGTATTCTAAATACATGCACGAAGGCCAATTTTGAAAGTAATGTTAGTCGGTACTTTTGAAACGTCATCATAAATGAATACAGGTTGAAAGAAAGTGTTTCCTTGTTAGGGAATGACCCCCTGAACCAGCCAAACCTTGCGAAATAATATATTAAACGAGCAGTGATAGAAACAGTCTAAATGTCACAGAAACAACGGACGAAATACGTTTAGGTAAGAATCGGTAGAGAACTGCGAGTTCACTCGGATGCATGCGTATGGTTCAAAGTTTTTTACAAGAAAGAACACACTTGTACATGTGGCCTTACATAAACTAACGGCAGCATTCCAGACCAATCACATGCTAGCAAACGAAAGCCTGGGCATTTGAAGAAATGGTTCGGCATTTTTCAAGTGAGACCGACGAGCATCTGCATTTATAGATGGCCTTCTACGAAACCATCGTCGGGCTGTACACACACAACCCTATTGTGACCGGGCGGAGAGATTAAAGCCCCTGTTAACTCATGTGTCGCGTGTGAATGCAAACTGAACAAGGGCTTTGCCTCCAACTTTAGAAGGCCATCTAGGCCAATCGACGCATGTTCACGGGCAGCTATAAAAATTGATTCGATATTCTGTGAGAATGACAGTGAAAACAAAAGCCACTTTAACACAAGTCACTTTGGGGTGACGGTTAGTTTGCGTTGGGCTGCTCATTGCTAGGCCATTACTTGAGCAAACACAAGCTACAGCAAGACAGCCCGGGCATCAGTCGGTTGAACAGCCATTCCATGGCTGTTCAACTCTCTATATGCATCCATCCCGGAAGATTTTCAGAAGATATTCACAAGAAGCACTGTATCAAAATTGAAGAAGGGAAATCAATAAAGTTTCTGTCGGTTTGTCAATTTATCATTATGTCTAGACAAATAGGGACGTTTTTTCCCTTCCACACGAGCTGAGGTATTGTACCCTGATCCCTCGCTGTTGTAATTACCTGTAGTCTGATCCATTCTCACACGTTAGATTCGTGGAACGTAGGGTGAAGCATCTTCCACGCAAACACCACGAGTGAGCGCAGACCGATATACTTTCCTCTGTGAGGAATCTATATCGAGCAATACAGTTCCAAGGATGCAGTGAAGGCGTGAATTGAACGTAAACTGGGATGGTTTATTTTTTACCATATTATCTTCAGGAGTGGGGCATTCCTACTAATTCCAGGATCCCGTCCAGACACTTTTGTGTTATGCCCATCGTTGCCAAGGAAAACTTTTGAAATGTTTATTCTATCTGTTGTGATGGTTGAGACGGTTTAAGTCGTACAAAATTCGGTTGCTGTCATTACCCTTTAGGGAAACATCAATATTGGCTATATCAGAACGGATGGAGCTCGGAGATAAGATCATATTTTTTAAATTACACCGCTTTTATATCAACATGTCGTATAAAATGTCATATCTTGTCGTACTGGCGAACACAAAATACCAAGAATCTGTAGTAACCCCGACACAGCAAACAGCCAGTACAATACTCCCATAATTTCCCCGTCGTGACAAACCTAACAATCAAGCAGTCCCTCAAAAACCCTCACGTTTGAGACATAAATTAAATAAGCCAAAAGACTCTGGCATTCATGGAATGGGAGGAATAAAATGAAAAAAAGGGAGAAGGTTTCAGATAGAGTAATGTTATTAGTGATACAAAAATAGAAAGAGACCTTTTAGATATAAAGAAAAAACACTAAGTACGCTAACAAAAGATAAATGAATTTTTTTGGCCAACCGAGCGGTGCATTAATTTGACCGAAAGTCAAAGCACTATCTCCAGGATCAAAGAATCCAGTAAACAAATTCGAGAGCGAAGAGGTACAGCTTTACCTCAAGTTAAGGAGCACCCCCATGGTGTCGGTCCTTAACATACCCAAAGGAGTCCCCATTACATTTAATATTTTTTTCTACCAGTATGTAATTCTAAGTGTTCTGTCAGGTAACCGTGAGGCGCAGCGAGCTGGATGTTGACGTAAGTAAACTCTATTACTTGTCGTTGACCGCCCATACCCGCTGGCCTGCACAAGGCGATATAGAACGCGTCACATCAGCCCAGATCCTGCGTGTGATGTTTTCCCCATGTATCTCACCCGAACAAGTCCGTGGCATGTTTATGGGCAGAAATAGAACTACGCCTAAAGCTTACAGGCTGTTTTTTCCCTTGCGTCGAAGCAAAGCCTGGTGTAGTGCAAAAGCGCACCGACAAAAATTTCAGTGACAGTTTATTGTACTTTTAGCAAGACTAAAGTTGTACAATGGCTAGGAAGCACGCGACCATTGATTTCGTCGATTCGTCACGTCAAATGCAAAAATTGTGACTTTCATACTTGCATCAATAATCCGCTATATGTACCAATAGGGAAATGACCGTAATAGGTAGTCCCTGTGATCATTTTGACCACCACTGATATGCAATTTTGTGTTTCAATTCACTTCATTATTTTATTCTTAAATTTAGATGGTATTTTGGCACGCGCTGTAAATAACCCCCAAGGTTTGCTACTTCAATCTGTATTTCGGATCCTTTTGGTCTACGTCAATGCAGCTTTGCATTTTCATGACCAAAACTGCGATATCACCTGAAGCACTGAACCTCAATGTTTCACTGATTTGTCATAACAAATCTGATAGAATATCAATATTTTGCAATAGTCAAATCCTATTTCTTGGGCAACGTACTGTTGTGTAGGTATATAGCAATAAGCCAGCGAGCAAAATTTCCCAGAAATGTTTTTAAAGAGGAAATTTGGGGTTCGCAATTTGAACATGAGAACACGTAAACTGAACAGTGTCTTCCCTGAGTTACATCACGACAACAACGCCCTCACTGCTCCGGAAAAGTTTGGACAACTTTTAGTATTCCAAAAAGGGGCAACTTAAATAAGCATAACACCAAGAGGATTTCAAATAGTTTTCATGCACTGAAGAAGAGTATGAAGATGCCTAAGAGTTGAGTATAAATGCATATTATGTTTTGTTTGACTCTCGAAAGGATGTCAAATTCTTTTCATTTATGAAAGAAGAGTACATAGTTGCATAAAAAGAGCCTGGACCCTTCAACCACGCATTGCTGGTGTGCACTGAAAATTCTGAATTACAAGAGGAAAACTGTTTGAGTGAGTATGTGGCAAAACTCTTGGAGTATGTGGCATTAAAACCAAGCCACGGCAAATCGAAGAAAAATTGCCTTAGAGTCTGACACCACGATGACAGTTACCTCGAGCCATGTACATGCATAACCTGTATACAATGAAAGCGAGGATTGAGAATGTTGGCTGTCAGAACTGTTTGCCTCCACCAGAAATCCGAGATTCAGCGTTCTTCCTCAGAGTGGTTCAACAGCACGATCAACATTTTGCCTTTGATGAGTCTGAGAGGATGCAGTGGTCTAAGCTAGCAATGTTGGCATTTATATCCTCTATAGGTGAACCTGGTTGCAAAGACAGGGTAAGTAAGTTTTGTATTCGCCATTCTTGTCAGAACAACAGCTTTTCCTCAATGAAAAAGCTGAAATTTAACGATAACAGTTGCTGAGGTAACATTATTTGGCTGTTTACAAAATATCCTTTAACCCAGTGACTTTGGATTAGATTTCTTGTCTACCCTTGCTACACTCTTATCCGCTTTTGCCGTCGCTAAAATACATCAAAAACCATACTCACTGTCGTTTTGATCTTGTACATCGAAGGCTTTTTGGTCAGCTTGGTGAGTCTCCTTCAAGAGTCTCAAAAGGTTATTCAAAACGCCTACAATTCTGCAACCAAACATAAAGACGGATATGCCATTAAATACCAAGTACACCAGATAAGTTGAATTTGAAGACAGTAGTGATAATTATTATTTCCCTTGCACAGCTCCGTTTGAATAATTTTCAACCCCGTAACACCCTTTATCAATCTCTGTTTACACTCCATTGTTAGTATTTGGTAGCACAACGCAATCAAAGTGAAATTGACGTGCTAAGCTTAAGAGTCCTCGGTTTGCAGAAAAAGAGTCTTCGCAGAGTACACTATAGCATTGCAACATCTGAGTGCTGATGTGAAAACTGTCCAAAGACTCAAAGATTCTGCTGCTTCTGTTCTCACCTTCCAATGACCGTTGGGGAATACGAAAGGCCCCTGGATATCTAAACCAGCAAACATGAGAAGGGTTATGAACTTTACTTTGCCTTTTCTCCATAAAACCAAATTCAGTCGACAACTTTATAAAATGAAAGCGTTCTGGAGTCCTTTTGGCCACACGAATCGCCATGATTAAGATGAGGTTTGACACTTGAGGCAACATTTATGGCCAAATCTCACCTTCGACAAAAACGGTGTTAAATGTGAGCTGATTGCTCAGTTGTGTGAGACCTTCATAATTTCAGAGTAATGCTGCCCATTGTAGGGCGTCGATAATCAAACACAAACAATTTTAAGTAAAAGATTAGCCATTGCTAAAAAATTCCTTTCACTGTTTTTGATCTGAAACAAACTTTCACTGGAAAGAATTGCTGGAAAGAATGTTTGGAGCAGTTATGCAGTCCAAGATCTTCTTTTTCATTGGAAGCCCGTGTAAGGCTTAAGAATAATACTAAACTTGGAGATAATATAGCACATAGAGCGGTGAGTCGATTGAATCAAATTGAACCGAAACACCACTCGGTTTCTTTTTTTCTCAAAGTTTTCGACAATGCTGAGTCCACGGAACTCGTGGGCTGACCGCTAAAACCCTGCAATTTCAGTGTACTTTGATTTGGCAAAAGGTGCGCTATGGGAAGATATAGATTCCACCACTAATGCCTGGTCTCTCCTGTTGGCAACGACGCTTATAAGAGAGGTTGGGGGAATAGCGATGTTTAAGGGGCACAATGAAGCCATCTCTTTTGACGATGGGATTGAAATGTGAGACTTTAACAGCCTCCCTCAGCCTGGCAGGCCTGTCGAGATGAAAAGGATCTGGCGACTACCGTGAGGACGTCTTCAGCTGTCGACTGTGCACATTGGACTTTACACGAGGGTTGCGGAAGGCGGTCTCCATCAGGTACTTTGAGGATGTCTGTGTCGGCTCCCGTCCAAACGGTTCTCACAAAGCTAATTGAATCGCCAGACGGCATGTCCTCATTGACTACACGGACCGAAACAATGAAACGAATAGAGGGATATATCTGGCCTCCACACAAACATCGATTTTTAAGTGTTGCAAAATGCTACTAATTACACACACGAACCAGGCAGGTATCACATTAGCTAACAGTTCTCTACACCTTCAGGCCTGAGGATTTGAGACGTTTGTCAACCTACTCAATGACGCGGACGGCTAATGTTGATACTTCCAAACCAAGTGGGATATATGATTTCACAATGTATTTGCAAAAGGATAATAATAACAGGAGGTACACTTTAAATTGGGGGTTAAAAATAACGTATGCTCTCATAACACGGAAGCTTGCTGCTATTTGTTACCTTGTAGATGGCGGGGGAACCGGATATGTAACTGTGAATGTCTATGTATTTGGATGATTCTGTTGTAACCACTTCACTGTGCTAAACGGAAGCAAGTACACGAATCACGAAATGAAAACCACGCAATCAAAGACAAGGGCCTACAACTATATGGAACTTATTCAAAATATGGAAGTGTTATCATTGCATTGTTTTCCGTGTTAGGTAATACGAACACACATTGATGTATTCCTATCAAGAGTCACTGCGTCGACGAGGTAAATTATTTTTTGCCTTGAAAGGAACTACTGTTTGCAGACAACGCGTTAACCGCGGTCCACTAAATAATCCTAAATTCACGAGCTGTATTCTACAACATGACCTGTGAGCTTGCCTATCAAAGGTTGTTTAGTGGTCTTATAAGCTAATAGACAATTTTGTTGTCATTTGTGTTTGAGAGATTAAAAGGCCCGTTTTGTGTGAACTTTAAAATGGTATTCTGAGGCCAAATGATGTATTACAACAAAACTTTACTTTTTTGGGGGGCGGGGCACAGACGAGGGATACAGTTTGTGTGTCAGTTCATGTTGCCAATGGATAGACACAGCTTGAGTGACTAGTCCAAATCGGTATCACAGACGCAGTCTCAAGTTCGGGTTCGGCACACATTCTGAGACTGGTCTTCCGATACAATCGCCTCACTGCCGCATATTTGCAACTGTTGATGCCAGGGCGTTATAAGGCATGAAGTGGACTTATATAGACAAGATCTCAGAAAATTCCCTGATGTCATTCGATTCTTATCATGTGTATGCGAACCGAAAGTCAGGTTGGAAAGGAATTATTTATAACGTGATATGAAAACACATGAGATACAAAATCTCGGATTAAGTTAATCCATGTTCGGAAATACTGTGTTTTGTACAATGTATTACTATAGACATGAAGTATTTCGTCTGGCATTTATGTTTATAAGCAAATATATTTCGAAGCATAGAACGCAAATCATCGAGAATATATTTTCTTAATATCAATCGATACACTTTTAAAATCTTTATCGTCTATTCGGAAGCTTGAGCACCTTTTGTTATGATATCGAAAGACCTGACCTATCAGACAGATCTATCTTTCCTGCTTTAATTACCCAAAGAAAGTGACTTTTTAAGCTCCGGCTATTTTCGAAAAGTGCACTTACAGATGCAAAATAACCTTTAATTCTATCGATCCTGAAACGAATGTTCCATTTTAATTAGGGGCCCACAGAACTGGAAAAATGATTCATGTAGAACACGTGTTGACCGAAGTGAGCACTCTCTTAATCCTTCGTGTGCAGATGTTCGCCTGATATCAGAGCGCGCCTTATCACCTGCAACATAGTTGACTACTGATAAGCTAAGTCATGTGATTCCGAAAATATTCACCAAATTTAGACTGAATAGACGGCGAGTATTTTGCAGATGGCGCAAGCTATTGATTCGATTGAAAAATGACTTTCATGTAGACTAGACGAAAGAACGTGGCCCGACCCCCCCCAATCCAAGAAAATGACTGGTTGTTGGGAAAATGAAACGAAAAATGACGCCAATGAATATTTGATTCCCTCAAACCTCTGACTAAGGGAAATTGCCTATGCACAGCAAGCAGTCTGGTATCCCACGCGGCGTGTGAACAGCTGCCCAGGCTTCCGTCTAAGTCCTGTCTCTTGTTTGTCTCAGCTTTTCTTTATGTATAGCTGCTCCTGTTCTCCCTTAATACCAATTCCTGCAGATGGACTATCTTTTGATGAGTTTGTACTGATGACAAATAACTGATGGAAGTCGGATCTACGAACCTGCCTCAAAGTATACGTGTCCCGCTGATATATGACAAAGGAAACGACACACGACAGTTCGCAGTCTGTGTCAGTTTGCGCTTTTCGACAGTGAAAGATGTTTCCGTTTAGGAAGGAAGCCTATGTGACTAAAAACGTGAACTGTCTCTACAGATTGTTTTATATATATATATATCAGTTATTGCCAGTCTAGTTACCTCTTTTAGTATGATCCCAGCTTTTGATGAACAGGGACACCTTCTAACAACTTTAACCCTGGAAGCGACACTACCCATGTCCATATAATGAATCAAAGGCGGCCAACCACCTGCCGCCCACTAGTGGTCTATGATGACGTACACCATCTAATGCTTTGCCTTCCAGATAGCATGCTTTACAGTCTCATGAACATTTCCCCACGCTGCAATTTTACTATGTACGCGCACATATTAAGCCACTTTTCAACCAGTTGTCTCGGGATTCATAACCTCAAAAGACCTCTTTATGCGTTTAGACTTCCTTGCAAAACATGGTTACGATAAATTGGCCATGTGCAATTGAAATCAACCACGCTGAGCACCTTGCATCACTTTCTGCTCGGTGATTGGCGCCGGATATGCGTCACGTACAGAGATGGAAAAGGTTGGCAGAAACCTTCTGCCTCACAGTTGGTAGATACATAATATTTGTGTCGAAGGTATTGTTTTCCGAAGTGAAATCGTTACGTCATGTTGCTATAGGCTTTATGAATGACGCCAGACACCTCCGTCTTCTGATGCATTGTTGTGTCCAAACAACCAAGGTCAAACGTACTGCATTTTGCTTTCGTCAAGGCGCTCAGTTTGCTTTATGCATGACATTAACATGATTCGTACAATGACGTCTGCAGGTTTGGGGGTTCGGTGAGAGAGGACAAAATGAGAACTTTTTCCTAAGAGGGTGACTCAAAATCATTTCAAATACCATAAAGGAGGCAATTATCGCTCTAACGTTCTGACGTATTTACCTTAGGGCAAAACATGAGAAGAATGCAAGTTTCCCTCCCCCGCTTCTCTGCATAAATGTTAAAAGCACTGTTTTCAGTCTCGAATGAAATCCCCCTTCTTACTTTTCACAGCTGAACTTTTCAAAGCTGAATATTGTGGTTGAAACGATATAACTGACAGAGTGCATTAGCTACAGCATATGCAACACCTGGATTGACACGAAGGAGTGTAAAATATCGATCAATGAACATCTTTTGATCAATCAACCTCCGACCGCAGATTATAAAAGCATACCACGGGGGAAAATCGTCATTTCATACACCAACTGCAGAATACAAGGATGGCAGACCGGATCACAATTTCCATCACGTCGAAGCAATAAAAGTGGTGGCAGAGCCCCCTCGCTTGAACATCTGCGTTTGAGAAATTACTGGCCTGCCTTGGCGAAAATGACGTGCAACATGTTACTGAGGAAATGATGGATTGCCCGCATGACTTAGTCCAATATAATAGGCTTCTTCCCATGCAGCCAATC